AAATTGTTTTCTCAAAAAAAAAAATCCCATAGGCATCCAAAAAAACAGATATGACTTAGAGGCAAACATAATAATGCTTCAACTCACATACTTTGGGCATATTAGTAGGAAAGGCTATTCGTTGGAAAGGGACATCATGCTTGGAAAGGTGGTAGGACAGCAAAGATCCTCTCTCAGGTAGACTGAAACAATGATATAGCAATGGGCTCAAGTGTGTCAGAGATTGTGAGGATGGCACTGGATAGGACAGGGCTCAGAAAGGTTGTTTACAGGTTCGTTATGAGTTGTGCTTGAGTCAACAGCACCTAAAACAACATCTTCATACGTCAGTGTGACTTTGAAGAAATAAAGTTTTTCATTGAACATATGACCAAATTAAACAAGGTCATACTAGAATAGATTGGGTCCCAATATTCTAATCACTTCAGAGTAGTTTCTCACACACAAAAAAAGAGTTGCTCACAAATGTAAGAAACAGATGGTCAAGGAACACAACAATGATAGATTCATTCATAGGCAGCAAAGGACAGCCCCAGATTGCCACTGGCCACCAAAAACTACAAGAGAGGCAATGTTCCCAGAAGGAATCAACACAGTCAACACCATAATTTGACCTTCCAGCCTCCAAAACTGTGAGAAATGTATTTTTTTAAGCTACTCACTGTGTGGTATTTTAGAAAACTAAGATAAAGCTAAAATTTATTAAACTTATTAAAGTTGGGGAAAATTCACCACATTTCAATTTTGTGGCAAAGGACAAAAACTCTAACTCATTCATCATACTGCAAATCCTCAGTCTAAGAGAAGTTGTCATCTCTTTATATAGTATATATAATTTTTTTATTTCATAAGCAGAGAAATTATGTATTCTAGATTTTAGTATAGTTCTTGATAACTAGAGAAAACTGAGATAAGGTATTTCAAAGAAATTTTTCAAGTAAGCCAAGTAGGATAACAAAAGACTCTGAAAGGATAAAAAAATATGGCATTTACTTAGAGTAGCTTTTTTTAAAAAAATCTTTATTTTTTTTAATTCAATGAACATCTACAGAGATTCTGAAATTCCATTCATTCATTGGAGTAGGTTTCTTAAAATGGACTTTCATTTCCTTTATAACTTAAGAATGATGCTTACTGGCTTTATAAAAATGAAATAATTATTTTCAAAGTCCACCCAGTATTAAAACCCCCCAAAAAATAATAATCACAAAATTCCATCAGAACTATGAATATTCTTTCTAAGCTCTCCCTATACAGACATGTGGAATAAAAAATGGAAAGGGAAGGAAATTATGTTTTTAAAACAAACTATTAATGTACTGGACTGGTTTGACTGGAGGATTCTTGAGACTATTGCCCTGATATACTTTCCAACCTGGAGCTAAAACTAACCTCTCAAACCACCAGGTCATCTACTTACAAAGATAACATTTATGCACCTTCAAAAAAATCACTTATATGAGACTAAAGGTCAAAAAATATTTTAAAACAAAGATGAAACTAGAAGAGGACAGGGAGAATATATTATTGGGATGAAACAGCCAAAGCACAATAAACAGAAAATTTAAACATTGTGAATAACAACCAGTGTTATGAATAATGCTGTGCAGAAATTGTTGAATGGGAAGCTAGACTACTTGGTAAACCTTTACCAAAAACAAAATAAAACACTGTTTCAAAACCAAGGTTTTACACTTTGCTTGAATATAACAAAAAAATATTAAGCTGTTACTACTGAATAAATCTTCTGTCTCCAGAAAAGAAATGGATTACTAGAAAGTGTCTCTATAGTTTAAAAAAAAAAAAGGTCATTAAGACACCTGATCTTTTAAAATCTGAATTCCACCTGTACTTCCATCAAAAGATAACACCACAGAAAAAGGAGATGGTTTTAATTCTTAAATTCCTTTCTCTGTTCTCTCACATTATTTTCCTATTATTGTCAATCACATTAATCTTCATTTATCAAGGTTCATGACTGTCATTGAACCAGTTGCTACATCTTAGCTCCACTTTTTTTCCTGTTGTATATTTTTTTACTCATTTTAATGAAAGTTTACAGAGACTTTGTATTTCCATTCATTCACTGTTGTACTTTTCTCCCTGCCCAACCTCCCCACTCAGTTGGATATTCTCTTTGAAAAGAAGGAAAATTCTTTCACTGTTATACAATCGCTTCCCCCAAGTCCATTCCACTATACAGCTTTCATTCTGGACTCCTGTCATGACAATAATACCTAATTATATATCCCTTTTAAACAGTTCTCTCCCTCATCTGTTTCAATGCAGTGCACATAACTTAGTTCCACTTTTAAAAGAATTCCATGCTCAGCATCATTTTCTCCCACTTCTTCGTGGAGGTTGTAAAGTTCCCCTTCCTTTCTCGTTTTAAACCTAGCATTCTGATGATAGCAAAACTAATTCCCCCCCAAGGCTATTATGCATTTTATTTACAATGTTAGTAACAAGTACCTCATTAGCATAGTGACACCCAGACATTTGGTTGCTGCTGCTGTTGTTGTTATGTGCCCTCATGTAGAATGCGACTCAGAGAGACTCCACGCACAATAGCTCTGAGCCTTGCCCTATCCTGGGCCAATCTCACCATCTCAGACACATCTGTCTCCACTGCCTCAGTCACTGTGTCAATTCATCTCATCCAGGGTCTTCCTCTCGGCCCTGACCATCTATCCACCCTTCCAAGCATGATGTCCTTGTCCAAACACTGGTCCCTCCTGGCATCAAGCCCAAAGAATGTGAGATGGTGCTTCAAAATGCTTGCCTCCAACGAGTAAGCTGGTTTCACCCTCTCCAGGACACACCTGTTTGTTCCCTTTTTCTTCAAATTGACCACAACTCACAGCAGCCCTCTTAAGAGCAAGCCTTAACCCTGCCTTGTCCTGCACCATCCTCACCATCCCTAATAGTTTTGAGCTCACTGTTCCAGCCCCAGGGTCACTCCATCTCATTAAGGGTTTTTTTCTCTTTCACTGATCCTCTATCCTTCCAAGCAGTATGTCCTTTGTCCAAGAACTGACCTCTCCTAATAACATGCCCAAAGTATGTGAAATAGATTTCATCAACCTTCCCTCCGAGGAGCACCCTTGCTGCATTTTTTTCAAAGACACATTTATTTGTTTGTTATTTTGGAAATCCATGCTTATTCAGTACTCTTCTCCAACACCATAACTCAAAAGAATAAATTCCTCTTCTATCATCGTTAATCAATGTCAACGTTTCAGATACACAGGAACTAATACCATGGCTTGAATCAGAAACACCTTAGTCTTCAAACTGACGTTGCTGTTCTTCAGTACCTTAAGAGAGGCCCCTGACAGTGAACTTCCTCACCACAATACAACTTTTGATTTCTTGACTGCTATTGCCAAGGGTATTTGCTTACTGTGGATCCAAGTAAAATGAAATCACTAACCACTTTAATCTTCTCTCCATCCATCATGATGTTGACTCTTGGTCCAGTGGTCAGAATTTTTGTCTTCTTAATGCTAAAACGTAATCCGTATTAAAGGTTGTAGTTTGGTAGAAATTTTTAAAATTGTGTCAAGAAGAATCTTATTCATTAATTCTTTGCACCACAGCTTGTTTTCTTTTCTTCTGCAAATTAAAACCTGCGCTGAGCCCCTCCCAGTGATTTTTTTAAACTTATTATTGTACTCTTCATTTCTAACACTTGTTTAGTTCTTTTTAGAAGTTTCTGTCAGGTTACTGAAACTCTTGTTTTCTTCCTATATGATTTCCTTATTTCTTTAGCTATGTTTTCTTTTAACTCTTTGAAATTATTTAGTACCATTGCTTTAAAGTCTAGTAATCTGTTAATTCTCAGGGAAAGCTTCTTCCACATTATTTTTTTTAACATATAAAACTTTTGTACATAGGGTCGCTATGAGTCGCAAGCGACTCTATGGCACATAACAACAAACAACAACAAAATTTTTATTTTATACTAGTTTTCTTACTAAGTTCATATACACTGTTTTTCACACTAGATCTTTTCCATTTCCTTTTCCCACCTCTTCCTCCACACATCAAATTGTGTGACCCTACCATTAGCCCCACACACACCCCCATTCTCATTCCTCTGCCACATGATTTTGATCTTATGTAGGGGCCACCTTCTTTGTTTCTTTATATGCTTTGTAATTTTTTTTGTTAAAAGGGAGACATTCAGCAATTATACTGTAATTTCTCTAGAGATTAACTCCTTCCCTTTTCCTAGGATTTGTTTATCTTCTTTTTTATTATGTTGAAAGCTGAAGTCTTCACTTCAAAAACCCGGCTCACCACTTATACCTCCTTGTATACTTTGTGCACTTTCTTGTGGCCCCTTCAACACTGGCCTCATTTCTTGAGTAGTAGATGTCACTGTTTCACTACTGGATCCCTAAGCAGATGATGGCTCTACTGCTCCAGTATCAGACTCTGCCTTGGAATACCGGTAGGTAGGGCCACTGTACTGCTAGGCTCCCTGGCTGAGGATGCTACTGTGTACGCTCCCTCTCTACCAGCCATGCCACTGGATCATCAGACTCCTTATCTGGGATCACCAGCTATCACCAACTCATTATCAGACTCATTACTGTTCATTTGTGAACAGCTGTTGTTGCAGATTCTCCATGAGAATACCCACCCAGATATGCCAACTTGCTACTACAACATCAGATAGATCACCTGGGAGTATAAGTTCTAGAGTACAATGTCAGGCTGCACTCCTGGAAGCTATCTCTGTTACAGATTTACCATAAGACTCTCTATCTAGGCATGCCAGTACTGGAGTCCTAGCCCCAGAGGCAGGAACAGTGGGCGGTCTCAAATTTACCACAAAACTTCCCTCCTGGAAGTATCAGCTCTAGACCCAGACTACACATTTTGCCATAAAATATTATCAGTAGCATAATGATTTTAAAAGCAACAATGATTTTAAAAGTCTTCACCATAAGAGGTAAAATTTGCAAATCAACTTAGAAATGCCAACTACTCACCCTCTATTACTGACAATTGCCTTTTTCAAGTGAATGTAATTTGCAGGAAAGATACCCTGTAATAGAGAAAAAAATTTCCATTAGAAAAAAGCAAAGTGTAATTAACACATATATAACAAATCAGCAATGGGACTTGTACTTTATCATCAATTTAGTAAATTTTGTTAGTGTGGGAACCACTTTATATATTGGTTAAAATGTATAATTAATTTAAAATATACAACCACAATGTGTATTAGGCAAAAGTACATTTTGTGTATAATTAACCCAACCTCTGGAGAAAGATGTGACTTTAACAAATAGAGAAAAAGAAATATACTGGAAGTGTTGCATCAAATCACTGTCAGAATATAGTTATGAGAGTTTTGGTATATCTCTCTCAAATCAATATCATCATCTAACCAAAAATTTACATTAAGCTAGAGCAATAATCAATGTTAACTAGGCATAACCCACTCACAGCTGACCTTCTAGTGGGTTTTTAGAGGCTGTAATTTACAAGGAGGAGAATGCCAACTTTCTCTTTTGGAGACACTGGAGGATCTGAAATATCAGATAGGTGCCAACTCTAGGTTAGCAGTGAAGCTCTTACCAACTAGATCACCAGAGCTCTGACATCTAAATAAAGATGATCAAAGAAGAACTGGTGCCTCTGAACTGTGATAATGGTAAAGAGTACTGATTATCTGCTGGACTACAAAAAAGAACAAACTCTGTCTTGGAAGAAGTACAAACAGGGTGCTCCTTAGAATCACAAAACTTCATCTCACACACTTTTTACATGTCAGGAAGGGCCAGTCTTTGGAAAAAGTCATCATGCTGGTGGAGGGTGAGAGGAAGACCCTTAATAAGATGATGGATCGACACAGTGATTACAAAAATGTGCTTCATCCTGCTGGAGAGCATGGGGGACAGTGCAGGATAGGGCAAAGTTTTGATTTGTTGTTCATAGGGTCTCCATGAGTTGTAGTCAACCAGATAATACGTAACAACAAAAACAACAACTCTTAAACTCTAGCTAGCATTTAGATATACAAGAATGAATCAATTTAAGAGTTTCTATATATATATACTTCACAAGGCTCTGATGACTCAATGGTAAGAAGTTAGGCTGCTAACCCAAAAACACACAGTTCAAATCCACCAGATGGTCTAAGCAATCATCTCTTCCCCTGCAATTAACTGTCTCTGAAAATCAGTTGAAGGGTCAGCTATGAGTCATTTTTGACTTGATGGTATTATTCCCATAAATATGGTTTCAACCTACCTTTTTCGCTTTATGATTCACCACTCTTTTGTGATATGCTCTAGACAGCTGGGACAGTTTGCCATTCTCTGAACATGTCTTACAATTTCATGTCACTTTACATCTGCTTTTGCTATGTTAAAGCCCTGCTTCTACATGAACAATAGCTGGTTGAAGAATCATGTATAAATGTAGCTCCTGCTTTTTGCATGCTGTGAGGAAAGGCTATGTCCTGGAAAGGGACACCATGCTTTGATGGTCAGCAAGAAAGACCCCAAACAATGCAAACAATGCAAGTGTGTCAGAGATGTTGAGGATGGCATTGAATAGGACAGGGTTCATTTCTGTTGTTTATAGGGTCACTTTGAGTCATATTCAACCTGACAGTACCTAACAACAACAATAAAACCATAAAGTAAGCAACAATAAAACCATAAAGGAAGAGCATATATAATTCTGTTGCATTTTATTTATTCCAAGATGAACATTTATTTCCTAAAATTTACAAAATTGCAATCAAATATTTGTTCTTTTTTCTTAATTTCATTTCATTTCCTTATTCTTCAACTCATTAAAAAGTTTCTCTTTGGAGAGCCTAACATATATGTCTGTGTATGTGCTTGTCCACAATGTCACATGTGTGCATGCACACCAACAGAATATAGCACTCGGTCTCAAACACGTTTTGGTTTCTAAATTTACAAAGTCAAGGTATGCTCTGGCCTAGAAGTGAATTAAAAAAAAAACCCTACACTGTCTAGAAGGAATAAAAAGAAAATATTCTTAAAATCATTTAACAATAGAAATTTTCTTATCATATGTCTAATAAAACTACACTTTTAACATGCAAACTTGAACATATGGAACCAAAAGGATAATATACAGAACCTGTATTTTCCTTATAAGTGGTTTTCCTTACCGCAAATTAATATAAAGAACAAAATAATAGTTTGTGGGTTTTCTTTTAAAAAAAGACAACAAAAACTATTTCCTAAAAAAAGTTTTCTCATTTACAAATATTTCTGAATGCTGTAACTGCTATCTTAGTGAGTCTCTAAGCATATTTTAAATGCAAATAAAAATATATTTATTTAATAAAATTAAGAAACAAGTAAACATAAATACTAATATAAAAGGTATATGTTTTAAGCTTATAATTCCTGTTTAAATTCATATTTTTAGCAAGAGTACTCAACAGAGAAAAAAATCCTACGTACACACTAATTTTTTTCCAATTTTTGTACTGCTGTTATCATGTTCTTAAATGATAAACATGATTCCAAAATACTAAGTCCATAAATAAGTTAATTTTGTTTTATCAAACTACTTGAAGAATAAGTATTTGATCTCCTAAGCAAAATTTTTAACATAGGTTTTGAAGCTATAATTATATCTGCATTTTCTGTTTCTTTAGGAAAAAAATTAATACTGCTGAGTCACAGAAAATCTGATACAGTACTGTAGGAAATAATGACTATGTCATTCTAAAAGATCAAAAGAAAGCCAGTAAGATTTGGTTTCATATCAAATCAGTGCATTTGTATCCCCTACTACAGAAAAGATATCAATAACATTTCCATACCTTCACATTTGGTTTCTTGGTTGACACACCTCTGTACCAACCTAAAACAAAGCATACAAAAGATATTAAGATTACACAGCTGCTCTTTTTATAAGAAATATAATCTGAATATTTCTGAGAGGGGGGAAAAAAAGGGTAATGTTAGCTTTACCTCAAAACATAATTGTAGCTTTATTAAATAGTAAAGCTGTCCTAGTAGTTGACTCTCAAAGGAACATTATTAACAAGACAAAATTTCACATTTCCATTACACCAAAAAGCTTCTTCAATAGTTAAAAAAATGTATCAGAGGACAAGCAATTCATCTCCACAAAAATTCCCAGATGTATCTGTTAAGAGACAGTGAAATGCTGTAACCACAATGTTTGAGGGTTCCTCTTCCTTTTTGTTTTCTTGGGGGATTCTGGCGGTAAAGAAGAAAGAGAGCCCAAGTTTTTTTTCCTGTCCATTCAGCCTCTATTCTACTTAAGTTGTTGCTGTTGACTGCCGTCTAGTAGAGCAAGACTCACAGCAGCCCTAGGAACAAAAGGCCTTGAAGCCTTTCCGTAACTATCATTGTTTTTCCACATTCATAATGTTTCGAGAGGCATGTGGTTTAGGAAGTGGATGCAATTCCTGCTTCCAAGCCTGTCTTAAACTGGGAGTTCCACCAAACCCTGTCCACCATGGGCATTTGATCCTCAATGGCACAAGGTTCAGCATCACAGCAAACCCAGATTACATTAATACAGCTAACTGACAGAAGAGTGCTGTACAAGTTAGAAGAATGTTCCTCCAAAATGAAATAACACTAGGCCCTCTACTTGTATATACTTATATCTCCCACTTCAATTATTCCTTTTCAACATCCACATGTAACAATACAGAAATTTCTATTGTTACTTTATTGTATGTATAAACATACACTTATATGTAAGGGTGATGTGTTGGTGTAGTAGTAAGGAATTGTGCTGGCAACACAAACAGACACAGTTTGTATTCACCACCTGCTCTACAGAAGAAAGATAGCCAATCTTCTCCCATGCAATTTACTGCCTCTGAAAACCTGCCATAGTTGCTGAGTACCACTGAGTTGGAACCTACTCATAGCTGGCCCTCCAGCAGGTTTACAGAAGCAGTTAATCACCCAGGAGGAAACTGCCCATCCTTCTCCCATGGATAGAGCAAAACACTGCATGGTTCAAAATTGGGAAGGGTGTATGCCAGGGATGAGTTTTATCTCTACAACTTTTCAATCTATATTCAGAACAAGCCATCAGGAGTCTGAGTCCTTCCTATGAGGAAGACTGTGGCATCAGGATTGGAGGAAGACTCATCAACAACCTGTGTTATATAGATGGCACAACCTTGCTTGCTGAAACTGAGGAGGATATGAAGCACTTGCTGCATAAGGTCAAGGAGTGTAGCCTTCAATATGGAATGAAGCTTAACATCAAGAAAGCAAGGATAATCACCACTTAGCTGACTGGCAGCATCATGATAGATGGTGAAGAGATTAAAATTAACAGTTTTAGTTTTTTTGGCTCCACAATCAACACTCTTGGTACCAGCAGCCAGGAAATTAAGACGAATTGCATTGGGAAAGTCTGCTCAGGGACCTCTCCAGAAAACTCCAGAAGAGCAACGATGTCAGTCTGAAGACTAAGGTGAACATGACCCAGGCCATAGTCTTCAAAATTATTTGCTATGCATCAGAAATGGACAATGACTAGGGATGAAAGAAAGAGAATTGATGCCTTTAAGCTGTGGGTCTGGAGAAGAGTATTGAATATACGATGGACTGCCAGGAGAACAAACTGATTCGTCCTGGAGAGGGTGAAATCAGGCTGCTCCTTGTTCTGAGGCTTCATCTAACATACTTTGGGCATGTTAAAAGGAGGGATCAGTCCTTGGAGAAGGACATCATGCTTGGAAGGGTGGAGGGACAGCACAAGAGAGGAAGACCCTCAATAAGATGGTCAAAGGGAATTCTTTCTCTCAAAAAATCATTGCTGCTTCCATAATATCATTGTTATAAATATTAAAGCAATAAAAATAACTTCCAGAGATAAAAAATTTTATTGTCAACTTAGCTGGATTATAAACTAGTATTTTCAGAGTTTTGGTTGTCCTGGAGAGGGCGAAATCGGGCTTCTCCTTGGAGGCAAGGCTTTTGAGACTTCGTCTGACGTTCTTTGGGCATGCTGCAAGGAGAGATCAGTTCTTGAAGAGGGACATCATCTTTGGGAAGGTGGAGAGATAGTGCAAGATAAAAAGACCCTGGATGAGATGGATCGATTCAGTGATTGGGGTAATGAGAGTAGGTGTGTCAGAGACAGTAAGGTTGGGACAGAATAGAACAGGGTTTAGGTCTCTTGTACATAGGGTCACTGTGAGTCACCAGCAACTTGATGGCACATAACAACAACAACAGTTAAGAGTTAGATAAAAGTGGTGACAAAAGGAAGAACAAGAAACCAAGATTCCATTTGAAAGCATAGGATAAAGAAAATTAAAAAGATAAAAAATTGTTAAAATAAAAATAAAAGTAAAATTGTTTCATGATGCTTTTTAGCCATTCCAAAAATTAACTCCTTTAACTCTCACAACCTAAGAAAGTGGAAATATCCCTAGTTTCTGTCTAGTCCAAGAGCTGAGATCATAAGCTTCAATAAATAATTTTTTATCTTAAGCATATAAATTTCTTATGAAAGAGAGAGGATAATCAATCAATGTTAAAAGTTAGATAATTTTACCTAAAAATCTATGGTAACAGCAGTCAAGGAATCAAAAGATGCACCAATTTGTAAAGAACCTTCTGTTAAAGACGTTTTAAAAAGGTTTCAAGAATAGGGAAATCAGTTTAAAGACTAAGGTGATCCACAGCCATGTCATGGTCTTTTCTGTTGCTTTTTATGCATCTTAAAGTTGAAGAATGAAGATAGAAGATCAAAGAAGAATGGATGTCTTTGAAATGTGATGGTGGTAAAGAATTTTGACTATGTCACTGGTTGTCAACAGGACAAACAAATCTGTCTTAGAGGAAGTATAAACAGGGTGCTCCTTGGAAGAAAGGATAGGGCAACTTGTCTCAAATACTTTGAGTATGAGTGTCAGGAGGGGTCAGTTCTTGAAAAAAGACATCCTAATGGGAAAGGCAGAGTGTCAGCCAAAGATAGGAAGATTCTCAAGAGGCTGGACAGACACAATGACTGTAACAATGAGTGTGAGTATAGCAGAGATCATGAGGATTGCGTAAAATAGGACAAGGCTCAGAACTGTGGCTTACAGAGTCGCTATGACTCATAAGAACTTTGATAAATGTTTAGTTTCAGAGGGGCTTCCAGCCTTTTGTTCATAGGGTCACTATGAGTCATGCTCGACTCGAAGGTAAGACTTACAGTTGATTAGATGGCACTTAACAACAAAAACAACAAATCACACAGAAAGAGACTGCATCTCTTTCTCCTGAAGAGCATTTCATGGATTCCAACCGCCAAAAAGGGATGGATCAAATACCTACTGACTATACCAGAGCTTTCTATAAAGGACTGTTGCTGTTCCTGTGTACCGTCAGAATCAGAACGGACCCATAGCTGACCCTCCAGAAGGTTTTCAGAGGCAGTTAATCACAAAGAAGGAGACTACCCAATTTTCTTCCACAGAGCAGCTGGTGGCCTTGAACCATGTGCCTTCGATATCGCAGTGCAGCTTCTAGCCACTAGGCCACCAGAAAGTGTCTAAAAAAGTTTCTTCTTCCTAAAAGTAATGATAACCCTATAAAACTTATCAAATGAGGAAATGTATGCCCAGTTTAATATCAGATTTAGAGAAAAACCAATTAACTGTGAGGGAATATTGTATGTCAACAAATCATAACCTAAATGAAACGGACAAATTCCTACAAAGACTACAAACTACCATCACTAACTAAAAAAAAAAAAAAAAAAAAGTCTACATAGATCTGTAACAAGTAAAAAGACACATGTAAACCAAAAACTTCCCGTAAAGAAAAGTCTAGAGCCAATGGTTTTCCTGATAAATTATACCAAATGTTTAGAGAAAATTTAATACATGTTGTTGTTTGTTGTTATGTGCCGTCGAGTCGCCTGCGACTCATAGCGACCCTATGTACAACAGCCCTAAACTCCGCTCTGTCCTGTGCCAATCGCACTGTCTCTGACACTCCCATCCCAATTATCCCAGTCACCGAATCAATCCACCTCATAGAAGGCCTTCCTCTCCTGCGCCGTCCCTCCACCCTCCCAAGCATGATGTCCCTCTCCAAGGACCGGTCTCTCCTCACAACATGTCCGAAGTAAGTTAGACGGAGCCTCAGAATCCTTGCCTCCAAGGAGCCACCCGGTTTAACCCTCTCCAGGACAAATCTATTTGTTTTCCTAGCAGTCCATGGTATTCTCAGTACTCTTCTCCAGCACCACAGCTCAAAGGCATCAGTTCTCCTTCTATCCTCCTTGGTCACTGTCCAACTCTCTGATGCATAACAGGTGATTGCGAAGACTATGGCCTGTATCAGACGCACCTTAGTCTCCAGAGAGACACCACTGCTCTTCAGCACTTTGGAGAGGTCCCTAACAGCAGACTTTCCCATGGCAATGCGCCTTTTAATTTCCTGGCTGCTGGTGCCAAGACTGTTGACTATGGAGCCAAGCAAACTAAAGCTGTGTACAATCTCAATCTCTTCACCATCCATCCTGATGCTGCCGATTGGTCCAGTGGTGAGAATCTTTGTCTTCTTGACATTGAGCCCCAATCCATATTGCAGGCTGCAGTCCTTGACACTCTGCAGCAGGCGCTTCAGGTCCTCCTCACTTTCAGCAAGCAGGGTTGTGTCATCCGCATAACGCAGATTGTTGATAAATCGTCCACCAATTCTGACCCCACATTTCTCCTCATAGAGCCCAGCCTCCCGGATAATCTGTTCTGCATATAGGTTGAAGAGGTATGGAGATAGGATGCATCCCTGGCGTACGCCCTTCCCAATTTTGAACCATGCAGTGTCCTTGCTCTGTTCTGATGACTGCCTCCTGGTCCAAG